AGTGGATTTATCAACACCTAAGGATTGAGTATCCTTGCCTGAATTAGCTATTACTTTTGTAAGGGCTAAACAGTGATTTTCTTTCTCTCAACTGACTTATTTTCTGCCTTATTGATGTATATATATTTAAGGTGTACTTCATGGTGTTTCCATAAAGGTATACATTGTGAAATGATTGCCACAATTAAGCTAATTGACAATCCATTAATTCAAAGTTTCTTCTTTCTTTTCTTTTTCTTTCTTTTTTGGTGGGAGAGGAACTGAGTTTTTTTGTTTGTTTGTAAAATTCAAGTATATATGGTATTATGTCAGAAATAAAAAACATTTGTCAGAAATAGAAATAGTATTATCAACTACAGTCACCATTCATCAGGTTTTCACAATTATTCATCCTGCATAACTGAAACTTTGTATTCTTTGAGTAACATCTAGGCAAATTTATGGAGACTCAGAGTGGACTTGTGGTTTCTTAGGCCTTGGGTGAGTGAGTTGTGAGGAAATGGGAGTGACTGGAAATGGGTATAGGGTTTCTTTCTGGGATGTGATGGATATACAACTCTGTGACTATACTAAGTCCTACTGAATTATACACTTAAAATGGGTAAATTTTATTATGCCACACGGATTTTATCTCAGAGATATTGTGATTTACAAGATGATGTAATTGGTCTTCAGCCTAGTTTCCGGGCACCCAGTTCCTAAAACCTTTGGAATTTCCAAAGTGATAAGTGTCTTTTTGTATGCTTATGAATGACTGTTGGCTTGGGGCTCCAGAAGAGCTTCCTGTTGGGGGCTGGTTGCCCAGGAAACAACCTTATGATTAGAGTGTTTTCAAGAGGTATTGTTTACATAATGGATAATATATATTTTTTAAAATATAGTTGTTGATAGACTTTTATTTTATTTATTTATATGTCGTGCAGAAAATCAAACCCAGTGCCTCACACACGCCAGGCGAGCGCTCTACCACAGAGCCACAGCCTCAGCCCTATTGGATAGTATATTTAAGACACCTTTTACTCCAAGAAGGAGGCATCCATTTATCCAACCTTATCTTCAACTGCTTTCTAACAAACACTGCATTTGCTAGGATGGTGTCTAAATGCCCTTGGCTTGATTTTCTGCCATCTCTGTATTTATCTCCACAGCTCTCCTCCTTATACTTCAAGGTTCAACTTGTTCAACTTCAAGGTCCTTGCTAACCTCCCTTCCCAACTCTTTACAAATCAAAAAGACTTCTTTATATATTCCAGTGTGTACTGACTTCTTTGCCTGAACATTTATATTGTCAATTTGCCATCTAATCTCATAAATAAATCAATCCCTGAATCTAAGAAACTGAATATTATCATACATACTAATATATTAGTCTGAATATGTATCAAGTTTTTATTGGATCTGTCCCTCATGCCAGGCAGCTGGAAGGAAGACTTGATTTCCTAATCTCAGCTAAGCATCACAATAACCCTCAACCCTGTGAACTATATCTATCATATACCAAAACTGAGGCTCAGAGTTGTTAGGTAATTTGCTCAAGGCTACAGTGGCTTAGATGGGAATTTAAACTAGGTATAGTTTGTAACACTGCATTCCTGACCTCTATTAATACTATTTCAATTTCATTGTATATGTTTTCTTTCTTTAACTAGATTTTATTAAGAGTAGGAGGGCAAGGATTTATATTTTGTGTTTCCTTTGTAGACTCTTCGTTATACCAGCTCCTATACATAGTCAACGCTCAATAAGTACATACTTTTTTGTAAGGGGGCGTGGTTTTGGGGATCAAACTCAGGACCTCAGGCATGCTAAGCCAATCCACCACTGAGCTACATGCCCAGCTCAATATTTGTTTATGGAATAACCAAGTGGAATTTTAACTAGCTCAAAATTCAAAAAACATCTAAAAGCCGGGACTTGATGGTGTGTGCCTGAAATCCCAGCAACTTGAAAGGGCTAAGGCAGGAGAATCACAAGGCCAGCCTCAGCAACTTAGAGAGATCCTGTCTCAAATTAAAAAATAAAATAAAAAGGGCTGGGGATGTAGCACAATGGTAAAGCACCCATGAGTTCAATCCCCAGTAACAACAAGAAAAAGAAAGAAAGAAAGAAAGAAAGAAAGAAAGAAGGAAGGAAGGAAGGAAGGAAGGAAGGAAAGAAAGAAAGAAAGAAAGACTTAGATGGTTAATTCATAAAATATTCATTATAGATCATAAAAGGAAACATAGATATTTGGGTCCATCCTTAACCCCCAAGATGTCCTGATAAAAGGGAACCACACCATCACAACTCTTTTTGTTCACCTATGAGTAAGAACTGATTGGACCACATGGATTATGGGTCCGATCCATTGTGATTATTCAACTCCTCTCCTAAAAGGAGATGCCTCTTGGCTTGTGCTTCTTCCATTTGTCTTTTTTTGCAGCAACACCTTCTCTTCTTGTGCACTTGAATAAAGTATAATACCTATGGGAGTCAGGCTTTAAATTCCAACAGGCATCTGGACACAGCAGTGCATGCCTGTAATCCAAGCAATTCAAGAGGCTGAGGCAGTAGGATCAAAAATGCGAGTTCATCTAGATGTGGCAGTGCATGCTTGTAATCCCAGCGGTTTTGGAGGCTGAAGCAGGAGGATTGTGAATTCAAAGCCAACCTCAGCAATTTATTGAGGCTCTAAGCAATTCAGTGAGACCCTGTCTCTAAATAAAATACAAAATAGGGCTAGGGATGTGGCTCAGTGGTGGAGCGCCCCTGAGTTCAATTCCCAGTACCAAAAACAAAACAAACAAACAAAAACCTTTAAGGAGCAACAAGCCACGTTTTGTCAAAAGGTGGTCAAGTATGACTGAGTCTCAGTTTAATCATCAGTAAAATGGAACTAAAGGGTCTGGGGATAAAGCTCAGTAGTAGAGAGTTCACAGGAGAAAAACTGTCTCCCAAGGAAGACATTGTCTCTGAAGGAGTTCCTGGAGAAAGGCAGGAACTTGACTCAGGCGCAGGAGGATCCTTATTGTAAGTAAAAGAAAATGATTTAAGCACATGTGAGTAGAGGAACAGACAGGAATTTATTTAGGAAAGCAGATACATATTCAAGGGAAAATGGAGACTATCAAGAGAGAGATGCTTCAGCCAGGCACAATGGCACACAATTGTAATCCCAGCAATTTAGGAGGTAGAGGCAGGAGGATTGCAAGTTTGAGGTCAGCCTCAGCAACTTAAGGAGGCCTTAAGCAATTTAGCAAGATGCTATCTGAAAAAAAAAAAAGTTGGGGATGTAGCTCATTGATAAAGTGCATCTGGGTTCAATCCCCAGGACCCTCCCCCCCCAACTGATACTATTTGATGTAAAACAAGGGAATACACATTCAAGAGAGAAATGTAGGCCATCTGGACAGTGATATGAATTACTGGGGTTCTTGGCTCCTCATTTATTTATTTAATTTTTTTTTTTAGCTGTCAATGGACCTTTATTTTATTTATTTATATGCAGTGCTGAGAATTGAACCCAGGGCCTCACACATGCTGGGCAAGTGTTCTACCACTCAGCCACAACCCCAGCCCCCTCATTTATTTATTTTGCGGTATTTGATATTAAACCAGAGTTATTCTACCACTGTACTACATCTCCAGCCATTTATTTCTTCATTTTTTTTCTTTTTTAAATTTATTTTTGAGACAAGGTCTTACTAAATTGCCCAGCTGCTTTAGAACATAGAATTCTCCTGCTTTACCTTCCTGAGTAGCTGGTATGCACCACTATACCCAGTCCTGGCTCCTCTTTTAAAGGAAACTTGGTGAGCTGTGGAAATGGAAAGGTGTGTAGGGATGATATCAGTCTGGTGATCACAAGATGGTTTATGGTGGTATGGTCATTCTCAGGATCCTTAGGCTGATATGGTCTTCATTATCTGATGAATAGATAAAATGCTGGAGTCTCCTAAATTGCAGGCTTCTTAAAATATCATATCTGTCTTTGCTTAATCTATTTATTGGTGGGCTAATTAATCGTGCACAAGGTGATTATCTTAAGTGAGGGATTTATGGTTAACTTTAAGATTTACAGATTTCCCAAAAATTTGGGAGTGACAGGCCTGGGAGAGAGACTGGCTTGGGGAGTGACAAGACTGGAAAAGTATGCGGAACTTTTAAATTAAAAACTATATTTCCTTATCCTTCCTTTATGTCTCCTTTTTACCTTTTTCTTTCATTTCTTCTAACCTCAGAGTGTGTGCGTAGTATGCAGGAGGCCAAGGATTTGCTCCCCAGCACGGGCGTGGGGAGTGGAAATTAAGCTCCTTTATCCAATATTTCATCATTGTCAGAATTTCATATTTAATAATTATAGGCAGCTGGAGATACATTTTGGAAACATCAGGGTCTAGAAATCTAGATGGGATTAATTATCTGTGTACAGGTGGTTTGAAACCATCTCCCAATTTCTTTCTATCTGCATTAGAAACACCATGGTTGAGGGTGACTCTGGTATGGTCCTTGGGAAAAATTTCAGGGAGGGGGACCTCATGTAGACAGGAAAACTAAGGGAGATTGAGGGAGGGGGAGGAAGAGACTCGGTGCTCTTTGCCTCTTCCACCCTTCTCTCTCTCTCTCTCTCTCCCTCCCTCCCTCCCCCCAACACGAGTCTCCCATCCCCCAGGATCACGGATTCTGACTAGGGAAGCACAAAGGTAAAAAATCACAGGGGGTCTCTGGGCAGGAAGCCTCTTATTGTCCTGCTCTGACGAACAGTGAGGCAGTGGGGAAAGGCTGCCCTTCCCCCTTTTCTGCTCCCCACCACACCAGGTTTGCTGTTGAGGGTGGGAAGTAGTCTCAGACCCCACGCAATCCCTTTTGCAAAGCCAAGTGTGTGTGTGTGTGTGTGTGTGTGTGTATTTATGTGCGCGCGCGTGTGTGTGTGTGTGTGTGTGTGTGTGTGTGTGTTGTGTGTAGGGAGGAGGATTGGGGGTGGGATCCCATGACGTTACTGACTCCGCCTCCTGGTTAATATAAGGGGCGCTTGGCGCGCAACGACCCTAAGCAGCAGCTTTGAAGCGAGAGCTACTGAAGTCGGCAGCTCAAACCCAACTCGGTTTAAGTCAGCCTTTCCAACCTGACTGGAGATTCTCAGCTCCCTGTGCTAGTCACAGCTCTCTGGTAAGCCTCCGGGAACGACACGTGTGTTGAAGGGGGGGACGGCGAGGGTCTCGGCATACCTAGGATTCTCTCAGGCAACCATCACATGCAGTTCCATCAACGCCACTGTGACCTGTTGCTGGCGAGACCCCGGCCCCGGGAGTTAGGGCTCCCAATATCGACCCCAATCCCAAACCATTTCTAGATGGAAGCCCAAAAATCTGGGAGCTGAGTCAGGGGGCAACGGTCGGGACCCCAGATCTCCGCCAAGTGGGAAGTGCAAGCAATCTCGGGCTGCTCTGGGGCCCCTCCCGGGGCGAGTCTCCAAATCTTAGATGTCGAAGCCCCGCCTCGCTGTTGATGCTCACAGGTCAGCTTAGCCCGGCGAGAGGCTAAGGCAGCGCCAATTGAGCGGGGTGGGCTCGGTGAGGAGGCATGGAACTGAGCCAGTGCTCACTTTTTAAAATCTGTAACTGAGGTCGGACCCATCTCCTGGGAGGCCTGGGGTCCATGTCTCTGGAGTCTTGGGGGCTAGTACTGAAAGGTGCATGGCTATGAAAAGGGGGCTCTCCCTGGAGTTGCTGGCCTCTCCCGAGTTGAGTTGTGTTTAATTCCCAAGGAGCCTCAGGCCAGGAAGCAGGGTTCCTGCATTGGGGTCTAGGATAAATCTTGTAGGTTCCTGGCTAGTGAAAGAAGAAACCCAATAGTGTCTGAGCACTTAATAGGTGCCAGCCACTTTATTACTAGGGGCTTTCACGTGCTTCTGCTGAAATTAGTCCTTCCACAAACCTTGTGAGGTATTGTAATCCCTACTTGCATTATTTTAATGCCTACTTCCATATGAAGTAACTGAGGTTAGAGGTAGAGTGACTTGCCTTTGTCCCTTCAGTCCCCCCCTCCTGTGCCCCTTTCCCTCCCATAGCTCTTTTGCTTGGTGGAGTGAGTTTTGGAATTCACTTTTAGAGCTTAGGGATAATGAGCCCTATTGAAGGGCTTTTGTCTTGTTTTTCACCAGATCCTAGTATCCTCTTCAATTCCAACTAGAATGCTGTGGCAGGCACTTCGCAGATTTGGTCGAAAGCTGGTACGGAGACGTACACTGGAGCCAGGCATGAATGAGACTCGCCTTGCCAGATGCCTGAGCACTCTGGACTTAGTGGCCCTGGGTGTGGGCAGCACATTGGGTGCAGGTGTATATGTCCTGGCTGGTGAGGTCGCCAAAGATAAAGCAGGACCATCTATTGTGATCTCCTTTTTGGTGGCTGCTCTGTCTTCTGTGTTGGCTGGGCTGTGCTATGCCGAGTTTGGTGCCCGGGTTCCCCGTTCTGGTTCTGCTTATCTCTACAGCTATGTCACTGTTGGTGAACTCTGGGCCTTCACCACTGGCTGGAATCTCATCCTCTCCTACGTCATTGGTGAGAGACTGGGCAGGGAGGGAACTTCACAGCCAGCAAAGGGGCTTTGGATCAGAAAATTTGCGTTGAATGGTGAAGCCCTTGAATTCTTTATTATTCACAGGACCTCAATAGGGCTAAATGTGTGTTGGTGGGGGTCTGGGAGGGTCAGAGGTATGGAGAAATTGTTCTATTCACCTGGCAAAGTTTCCTTCATTAAGTGACTGGTTTTGGTTCTTTAAAAGTAATTATAGGGCTGTGAATATAAATCAGTGGTAGAGCATGTGTGTGCACCTCTGGCACCAAGGCTCTGGATTCAATTGAAAAAAAAGAAAACCAGTAAAGTTTAGGTGATAATGGGTTATGACAGTTATTTATGTGAGACTAGTGTGGGGGAGGGAGGGAATTTGACCCGGTGTTTCTCCCTCTGCTCTACCAGGTACAGCCAGTGTGGCCCGTGCCTGGAGCTCTGCTTTTGACAACCTGATTGGGAACCACATCTCTCAGACTCTAAAGGGGTCCATCTCACTGCATGTGCCCCATTTCCTTGCAGAATATCCAGATTTCTTTGCTTTGGGCCTTGTGTTGCTGCTCACTGGTGAGGCAAGGGGCAGATGTTGATGGGGGGGGGGGGGGGGGGGGGGGCTTAGCCTAGGGGCTAGGGCTGGGACTGGGAAGGGCTAGGTGAAGGGGATAATGGCCTGGAGGTAGAGAAGCTGGGAAGGAATGAGTCAGCCCCATAGAGGCAGGAAAAGAAAGCTTGGACTGAGGGATCTTCCTTTCTCAAGGTCCTGATTGAATTTCTCCCACAGGATTGCTGGCTCTGGGGGCTAGTGAATCAGCCCTGGTTACCAAAGTGTTCACAGGGGTGAACCTTTTGGTTCTTGGTTTTATCATCGTCTCTGGCTTCATTAAGGGAGACCTACACAACTGGAGGCTCAATGAAGAAGACTATGAATTGACCAAGGCTGGACTCAATGACACCAATAGGTTAGAGAGTTTTACTCTTCTTCAGAGCTGCAGTGCTGGGGTCAGAATGAGGAGTAAGCAGATCCATGCTGAGGGATTCTTGATGAGGGTGGGGAAGCATGGGAGGCCGGGCCTTGGAAAACTTAGCCAAGTAGTTTGACCTTAGAGAAAAGGTATGGAGTTGGCTAAACATCACCCTTACCTTTTCCATTCCTTCTTCTGCTCTAGCTTGGGCCCTCTGGGCTCTGGAGGATTTGTGCCATTTGGCATCCAGGGGATTCTCCGGGGAGCTGCTACCTGTTTCTATGCGTTTGTTGGTTTCGACTGTATTGCTACCACCGGTAACAGGATCATTGCATTCTCACTGGGGCTTGGATGCTATGTGTGCTCAGGCTGCATGCATAATGAGGGTGGTAGAGGAGTGAACCTGTTTCCCTGGATCAAAATTTTTGTGCTGTGCCCTTTCCTGCAGGGGAAGAGGCCCAAAATCCACAGCGTTCCATCCCCATGAGCATTGTGATCTCACTGTTTGTCTGCTTTTTGGCGTACTTTGGTGTCTCTTCGGCACTCACCCTCATGATGCCTTACTACCAACTCCAGCCTGAAAGCCCTTTGCCTGAGGCTTTTCTCCATGTTGGATGGGCTCCTGCCCGCTATGTTGTGGCTGTTGGCTCCCTCTGTGCTCTTTCTACGAGGTTAGTATCAAATGTTTGTTTCAGCTGGGCACCATGCTGCACACCTGTAATCCCAGTGATTTGGAAGGCTGAGGCAGGAGAATCCTAAATTTGAAGCCAGCCTTGGAAACATAGTGAGACTCTGTCTCAAAATAAAAAGTTAGAGCTGGGATTGTGGCTCAGTGGTAGAGTGCTTGCCTAGCATGAATGAGGCATTGGATTTAATTCTCAGCACTGCATATAAATAAAATAAAGTTCATTGACAACTAAAAAAATATTTAAAAAAATAAAAAGTTAAAGGGACTGGGCACGTATGTACCTCAGTATAGTACCTCCAGGTTCAATCCCAAGTCTTAAAAAAAACCCAAAACCCCCAAAACACCAATTGCTTGTTTTCCTCTGACCAAAGTCTCAGATCATGGCATTTAGTACCAGAGAATATCCATTAAAAGAGCTGCAAAAGAAAGGTGGGAAAATATTAAACATGTAGGTTTGGGAAGAGATGACCCAAGTCAACTCATGTCATTCTGGGCATTCTTTAATGCAGCCTCTTGGGCTCTATGTTCCCCATGCCTCGGGTGATCTATGCAATGGCAGAGGATGGTCTCCTATTCCGTGTCCTGGCTAGGATCCACACCGGCACTCATACCCCCATCATGGCCACTGTGGTCTCTGGCATTATTGCAGGTAGGGAAAAATCCTTAGTTGTTTCACTAGTTCCTTTAACTTCATTATTCCCATCTCTCACTTCTTTGTCTTCTGCCCATCAATTTTAGCATTCATGGCATTCCTCTTTGAACTCACTGATCTTGTGGACCTCATGTCAATTGGGACCCTGCTTGCTTACTCCCTGGTGTCCATTTGTGTTCTCATCCTCAGGTAGGACTCCGTTTCTCTGTATACTGTGATTTGGGATTTTATTCTTAAGGAAGGATAGGGATCTACTCCTTTCTCTTGCACCTTGGTCATCCTGACTTTCCTTTATGACTTTGGGTATCTCACTGTCAAAAAGAGCTTCTTATTCTTAATGGTAATGTGAAGGTAAAGTTGCCTGGGAGAAGATGGTGAAGTGGTTAAGAGTTGTTTTTAAAACTGCTTTCTTAATCTTGCCTCAGGTATCAGCCTGACCAGGAAATGAAGCCTGGGGAAGAGGAAGTGGAGTTGCAGGAGGAGAAGGTTCCTGAAGCAGAGAAACTGACCCTCCAGGCACTGTTTTGCCCACTCAATTCTGACCCTACTCCACTCTCTGGCCAAGTTGTTTATGTTTGTTCCTCATTACTTGGTGAGCAGTGGAATTTCTCTTTGGGTGACTTTGGGGTGGACAATATGTCATGACATTTGGTGGTAGAAAGAGGGTGACCCTCGGAATGGGGTGCCTGATATCTTGTCATGTTGATCACAAGAATTGGTTTTGATGTCTCTCAACTTGACCTTTGAAGCTCTACTGCTGACTGTCCTTTGCCTGGTGCCATTTCCACTGCTTTCTGGAGACCCAGTGTGGGTGGCAGTGGTTGTACTCCTTCTGTTGCTTATTACTGGAACGACTATGGTTATCTGTAGACAGCCACAGAACTCCAGTCCCCTTCACTTTAAGGTAAATGACCTCTCCCTCCGTCCTCACCAACCTATCTTGGGTGAATAAGCATGAGATGCCTGTGGTCCAAGGTCTCTAGATATACTTAAATTGGGCATGAAAGGGAAGATATAGGAGGTACCTAGGCCAAAGACTTCTTTTGCTTCCTCCCAGTAGTTTCTTTCCAGTTCTATTTCCCCAAACTTTATGTATTCTGGGAGTCCCATATAAATGAGAGGCCACTGAAATACAGTGCCTGAGTAGCGGCTAAACTTGGCCTTTTTTGCCCTGAGAAAAATAGAGGTCTCTTTTTAGTTCACATTGTCACATGTGAAAAGGAAAATTTCCTTTGTTTCTAGGTGCCTGCTGTGCCTTTCCTCCCACTAGTGAGCATCTTTGTGAATGTTTACCTTATGATGCAGATGACAGCTGGTACCTGGGCCCGATTTGGGGTCTGGATGCTGATTGGTAAGTATCCACTTGGGGAGAGTAAGCCTTTTGGATGTCCTATCCCAACTCCTGTCCCTTTCTTATCTCCAGTAGGAGACATGTTAAACCTTTACAGATCACTGCTGCCCCACCTCACAGCTACCTTTACCCACTAGGGTTTGCTATCTACTTCAGCTATGGAATCCAGCACAGCCTGGAAGAAGTTAAGCCTGACCAACCCATATGCAAATCAAGGGCCAAAACTGTAGACCTTGATCTCAGCAATTCATGTGTCCACCAATTTTGACATAATTACAACCAAGTGCTGGCTGGCCCCCCCCCTGCACAATAATGGAGAGTACTCTTGATCCCATGGAGAGCCAACCCTCCCATATAATGTTGGTGGGGGTTACTAATACAGCTCTGTATTTATTGTGGAGTGAAGGATGTGTCTTTGCTGTTTCTCATATTTTTTTTTACTTGTCTACTTTTAAATGGTCTCTGTAGTTGCTTACTGGCTTTAAAAAATATTATTAAAAGAAATGGTAAAAATATTGAAAAAAGAAATGGTGTTGTTCTTTGCTAGAGATGATATGTAGAGCCTCGCTTAAAGACTGGAGGGCTTCAGAGAAATGTCCCTTGTCTTTTCTCAAATCACTACAAAATGTTTTGCTATGCCTGGGTGTGCTTCTTGTAGATTGGGGCTTGGGGGTAGTATAAGCAGCACCCCAGTCTAATTACACTTAAGATATGTTTTCTCCCTTGCTACACTGAAGATTAAGCTCTGGATAAGTAGATAGCAATACTTGTTGCTGAGATTTGGGGGTGGACTCTGATCTCAACACTGGCATTGGTTAGGGCCTACACTGAGTCCATTGTCTTCTGTTCCACCACTTCTAGTTGGACCAGTCCCAGACTCCTGTGACTGCCTGGGCAACAGAAATTTTGGCTGGGTGCTTGACACTGCTGGGAGGAGGGGTGGACAGAAGGGGTTTTGGTAAAGGACTGTATATATACAAGGGTACTGATTGCTAAAGAAATCATAGGGGAATAGAGGTCAGCTCTGCTCAGACTATGAACCATTCATTAATCCATTTATCCAACAAACATATGAAATGTTAGACCCTATGCTGGGAGCTGGTGATACAGACATGAATAAAACATAGTCTCTGCCTTCAAGGAACTCACAATCTAGTGGGGGGGACAAGCAGGTATACATAAATACAAAATGATTATTTGACCTGGGGCAGGGGTAAGTGTTTAGTGTTAAAAGCACAGAGAGCCAAGTGCATGCCTATAATCCAAGCTAAAGCAGAAGGATCAGAAGTTTGAGGCCAGTCTGGTCAATTTAACAAGAATTTGCCTCAAAACAATAAAGGGCTGGAGCTGGGCAGGGTGGTGCATGCCTGTAATCCCAGCGACTGGGGGGGGGGGGGCAGGCAGGAGGATTGCAAGTTCAAGACAAGCCTCAGTAATTTAGTGAGGTACTAATCAATTTAGCAATACCCTATCTCAAAAAATAAAATGGGCTTGGAAATGTGGTTCAGTGTTTAAGCACTCTTGGGTTCAATCCCTGATACCAAATAAACAAAAGAGACTGAGGATGTAGCTCAGTGGTAGAGAGCTGCCTGGTTCAGTCCCTAGTATTGTCAAAAAAGTGAGTGTGGGTGGGGAGAGCTTGACTGTCAGTGAATGGTATGCAGAAAACCATAGAAATATGGAAAAACTGATTATTCTTGGGCTATGACATACAGTTTTAATGTAGTTAGAGGTTAAGATGTATGGGGTTGTGAAAATTAACAGACCATTTGAATGACCTTGTATACTTTCCTGAGGTGATCACATGTTATCTTGTAAATGGTATGTGTGTGGGGAAAAGAGGTAGGAAATCACAAAAATTCCCAGTAGAGTGACAGTTGAATTTGTTAATTTGAATAACAGCAAGGAGGGTGGCTTGGAAGAGGTTGAAGGAAGCTAGAGCAGGGAGATAATGGCTACCACTTACTGACTCATATGCTAGTTATTATGCACACAATTTCATGTTGTCCTTTCCTATGAAGTAGCTGTTATAATTATTTTTTATAGAAGAGGGAACAAGTTTTAGGTAAGAAATATGCTGTTAATCACATAACTTTGAAAGATCAGGGCCTGTTTACAAATCAAGTTTGGGGGATGAATGTTCTATTCAGTGGTAGAGTGTTTGCCTAGCATACATGAGGCTCTGGGTTCTGACCCCAGCACTGCAAAGCAAAGCAAAGCAAAAAATAAATAAATAAAACAAAAAACCCCTGTTTTGTCTGAACTGCAGCTTATGCTCTTTAACCATTGTGTAACATAACAAGGATTTAGGAGGACATTGTGGTCACTTGGGCAAAATACTTCAGGAGTTTTGGAGGTGTGGATGTGGGAGGTAAGAAAGAAGCAGGTGACAGATTTCTGGAGAAATTACTAGGATAGAAGGAGCATAAGAGAAATAATACTTGGGGGATATGAATTCAGTTCCAGGTGCACTGAGTTTATAAAATGTATGAAGTAAGCTTCATATGGGTAAAGATACATAGTCAACTACTAGGATTTGGAATTAGAAGACTGGGCTTGAGTTACAGGTGTAGGAGTCATCATGGGAGAACATATAATATGTGATGAAAACTGTGTGGGACCAAAGATTGCTTTGGGATAAAAGAAAAGGCCAGCTGCAGTGGTGCACCCCTGTAGTTGCAGCTATTCATAAGGCTATGATAGAGGATTACAAGTTTGAAGCCAGCCTGGGCAACTTAGGGAAACCCTGTCTCAAAAATAAAAAGTGGTGGGGATGTAGCTCAGTGATAGAGTGTTTCTGGGTTCAATCCCAAGTACATAACCAAAAACAAACAAGCAAACAAACAAACAAAAACCCCTAAACAAAAAGAAAACTACTCGCAACACAAGTTGAATATTTTTCTTTAAACACAAAGAGACCTTACAAATTAATAAGATCAACAGTGGTGCAAGCCTGTAGTCCCAGTGACTGAGGAAGCTGAGTTATGAGGATCAGAAGTTCAAAGGCAATTTAGCAAGACCCTGTCTCAAAAGACAAAAGGGTTAGGAGTGTAGCTCAGTGGTAATGTGTCCCTAGCTTCAATCCCCAGTAGCAAAGAAAGAAAGAAAAACAGAAACACTGATAGAAAAATGATTGAAGGATATATAGTTTTCATAAAATAAATGTAAGGGGCTGGGGTTGTAGCTCAGTGGTAGAGCGCTTGCCTGAAGTGTGTGAGGCACCAGGTTCAATCCTCAGCACCACATAAAAATAAATAAATGTATACAACTAAAAAATATTAAAAAGAATTGTAAAGCAAATATAAGATATTCAACTCTTTAATTTAAAATTAAAGAATTTTAAATCAAAACAACTGTGAGATCTCAGTCCTTACTCTACAGACTGGTAAAACACATTAAGGTCTAGACATTGAAAAATTGATGGTAAACACTTTCATGCATGATAGGGTTAGATATGCTTATAGCTGTTGTGGAGGGTACTTTGATATAAGAATTAGTAACACATTCCTCTTGATCTGAAATTCCACTTATAAGAATTTTTAAATTACATATCTAGGGCTGGGGATGTGGCTCAAGCGGTAGCGTGCTCACCTGGCATGCGTGCGGCCCGGGTTCGATCCTCAGCACCACATACAAACAAAGATGTTGTGTCCGCCGAAAACTAAAAAATAAACACTAAAAAATTTCTCTCTCTCTCTCTCTCTCTTTCTTTAAAAAAAAAATTACATATCTATAAGAATATTTACTGAGAGAAATTTTTGGTGCCAGGGATGGAACCCAGGATTTCATGCATGCAAAACATGTGCTTTACTGATGAGCTACATACCCAACTCCTACTGAAACATTTATTATTATTGTTATTATTATCATTAGTAGTAGTAGTAGTAGTACTAGCAGCAGTACTACTGGGGATTGAACCCGGGGTACTTTTCCACTGAGCGACATCACCAGTCCTTTTTATTCTTTATTTTGAGACAGGGTTTCACTAAGTTGCTGAGAGTCTCACTAAGTTGCCAAGGCTGGCCTCTGAGATCCTCCTACCTCAGCTTCCAGGTCACTGAGATTACAGGCATGATCCACAATGCCTAACTGAGACATTATTAATAACAGCATAAAACTTGGAAGCTACCTAATGTGCATCATCAAATAGCTAGTTAATAAGTTGAAATACATTAATGTGTAGCTTAATGACAAAGCACTTGCCTAGCATGGCAATGCCCTGGGTTCAATCCTTAGTACCAAAAAAAAAAAAAAAAGTATTATGTGTCAATAGGTGGTATAAAAAGATCTTCAAGCAGGGTGTGGCTGTTCACACCTGCAATCCTAGTGACTCAGTAGGTTGAGTCAGGATCATAGTAAATTTTAGGCCAGTCTCAGCAATTAAGCAAAACTCTAAGCAACTTAGTGAGACCTTATCTCAAAATAAAAAGACTGGGAGTGTAGCTCAGTGGTAAAGTGCTCCTGGGTTCAATTTCCAATATCAATAATAAATAAATAAATAAATATCTTCAAGACACTCTGTTAAGTGCAAACAAAACAGTGAGATGTAGAATATTTGTGAGAGAACAAAAGAAGATGTATTTATACATAATTCTTTTCCTGAAAAAATATATAAAAAGCTAGTAACCTCTGATTTTCCTTCTGTCATTTTCCTATTTTGTAACTAGGTATAAACATTACTTTTTAATTATTTTCTAATTATTATCATATTAGGAGATTAATATAGATAATATTAAATTAGGGGAACACTAACAGAGGAGGAGGATTTAGTAAAGGAGATGGAAAAAGAATGACTAAAGCAACTGGAGTGAGGCAGAAGTTTAGGGAGGAAAGAACTTTTCAGGAACAGTGCACATTGCCAAATGCTACCTAGAGAGCCAGGTTAAATAAGATAAGCACAGAGCATGGTTCATTGGTTGTATAAATTAGGATGTAATTGATCATTTCAAGAATCAGGTGGTGGAGGTGGAAGCCATGGTGGGTTGAGTGAATAGAGCATGAAGAGGTAGACTATGGCTGTAGGCTAGCATTTCAGGCACTAGCTAGAGGGAGTTGAGGGGAAATTGTTTTCTGGTTTTGTTTTTGCTTTTTAGAGGCACTGGGGATTGAATCCAGGGGTGTTCTACCACGGAGCTACACCCTCAGCCCTTTTATTTTTTATATTAAGACATTGTCTTGCTAAGTTGCTGAGGCTGGCTTTGAATTTGTGATCCTCCTGCCTCAACCTCCCAAAGTCACTGGAATTACAGGTGTGAGCCGTTGTGCCTGACTCTCTTAGATTTATTTATTTAGGAACCAGGTATCAAACCCAGGGACACTTAACCAAAGAGCCACATCCCCAGCCCTTTTTATATTTTATTTAGAGACAGGGTCTCACTGAGTTGCTTAGCGCCTCACTAAGTTGCTGAGGCTGGCCCTGCACTCAGGATCCTCCTGCCTCAGCCTCCTGAGGCACTAGGATTATTCTTTAAAAGAAAATATTTGACCACTATCATAAATGGTAA